AAAAAAAAAAAAAAAAAAAAACGGCAGCACATATCGGAGATCTGTTAAACTGATATCAAAATAATTTCTGACTGGTCAATTTCTAGCTTGAACTGACCTGGTGGCAGGAGGAAGGTTAAGTGTGACTTGGCAGACTAAACGTTCATGTGAAGCAGAGTGGAAGCATAACTAAACCAGACGATGGGAAGCTGTTACAGTAGAAACCACTTTTAGAACCCGACTCACAACAACCCGAAGTTGCCCATGGTGCTGAGTGAAGCTGCAACATGACTGCTACATTTGGTTCTGACCTCCTCTCTGAGCTCGTACTGCTCTATGAGCTTCTTGAGCTTGTCGGCCAGCTCCATGTTCTCCTGCCTCAGCTTGGCATTGTGGGAGCTGTGCTGCTCCATCTGCACCTCAATGTCACCCAAAGTCATCTGGAAGTGCAGCATGGCCTCCTTCCGCTGCTCCTCATACTCTCTGGACCGCTGGCCGTTCTCCTCCTGTCAGTGAACACAGAGCCAATCTGCTTCAACATTATTACAGTAGCTCACAAAAGTAAGTGCACCCCTCACAGTTATGTAAATATTTAGTTTCATCTTCTCATGGGGCTAAACTGAAGATATGACACTGTAATAGAAACTGTAAACTGACTACTTGACATTGTATCAGAGTAGATTTGCTTCAGCAAGGCAGCGGTTGTCTTAGAGACACGTTTGTGGCCCAGGTTCTGAGGGGGGTTGGAGGGAGACCTGGTCTGCTTCAGAGCATGCTGGAAAAATTCTCTCTGACCAACCTATGAACTGCCTCTCCACTACCTGGGGGCATTGTGTTGCTTAGCATCACTGGAGATCAACGGTCAGATCTGTTAGAAATAAATTTAAAATAGAAAACATCTTAGCTGTATAAAGGGCTTTGTAAATTAAAACGAGCACAATAAAATGAAATGTATGCAAAGCTTTGCAGACTTTAAGGAGCCTAATGCTTGTGAAGAGAGCCATTACCTTCAGTGTCTTGTTGTGTCTCTGGAGTTCTCTGCAGAGACTCTCCAGCTTGCTGCGGGCCAGGATGGCTTTGCTGTGTTCTCCCTGCAGGTGGATCTTCTCCTTGACAATCTGAGACTGCTTCTTCTGCAGGGCTTTCAGCTGTTTCTGCATGCAACGGCTCTCCTCTAGCTGAACCAACCACAAAGTCACAGCACATGAAAATAAAAGGTAAATAAAAGCTGCACAATCTTGTAGGGATGCACCAATAAATCAGCCCCGATTTCCTTAATTTTAGAAAATCAGTGATTTGTCCATACCTAAATGTGAGGTTGATCATATCCACCAATCTTATTTACCTCAGAAAAGGTTTAAAAATCAACCTGTCCTCTTTTACTCTACCTTGAGAGAGGTTTGACAAATAGATCCAGCATGACCTGCCAATATGCATATGATGTCTGCACGTTTTCTTTTTGTTTTGTTTTGTTTTTTTTCAGGCAGACAAAAAAAAAAAAAGTATCGGCAGGTCAGGAGGATTCTTCAAGATCATCAATTAGCCAGAAAACTGCATCAGGTGTTCAGTCGCAGTGCTGGTCTATATGTGAACACGATCACAAATCAAGCTTTAGAAAACTAATGTTTTCACAAAGTCATTCAATGATTTTGTCCTTTTAAAAATAAAGTCGACATCACAACACAGAACATGTGGCTCAGAAGGTGTCCTGTTCTAAAGGAGAGAACACATCAACAGCATTCCTGAGACCTCCAACTGCTCAATAAAGCTCAGGGATCTGTTCATTTTCTGCACTTAACATAATTAAATGACAAATATTAAAGCAGATTAAACTACTTCCACCTTAATCCTGCAGCTGGCTGGCCCCACAAACTTATCATGCAGGGTTTACCGCAGTGTCGACCGGCCATGCTTTACAAGCCCCACCGCCAGGCTAAGCGTTGATGGTTTTTGTTTTTAGGAAAACAAAAAAAAATATTTAATTTTTTTTAAGCGGGGCTGCAAGTGTCTGTTGCTCTGAGCGTTTCACTGGCAGATCAGATTTATTCCGTAAAGATAGGTTTATAATTGATGATTTTAAATGGTAAAGCCGGGAGCGCAGATCAATCACACCGCTGGCGCCTCTGTGCGTTGACGCTGCTTGATTACTGAAGTTTACCTCAGCGCGGATTGTGCAGGCCTCCTTTCACTCACACTGGACAGGCTGACCTGTATGGATATTTACATCAACCCCCTGTGAGGAATTACGTTTCTTTGGACAACTCTATATCAAGGTAAGAGTTTAAACCCCACCGTGTTAGCACTGGTTGCGCAGCTCTATGTGAACCGCAGGAATTTCAGAGGTGCACGTTGAGGGAGTGGTGAGAATGATTTATCTCACCATTTTCACCAGAGCTGCACATACAGGGAAGATAGATCCGCACAAAACAGACTTATGTGCGGCGTTTACATCTCAATACACTGCCCAGTGAGTGGCTCTGTCTTCCCTGTAAAGTTTATGTTTGTGGTCCCGCTTGTGCATTAGTAGTTAACTAACCAGTGCTAACCTCATCATGCAGATTCAGCCCGGTGAGGAGCTTTCGCGTTCGCCTTGTAGTCACGCATCATGCTGGTTTTATATTATTTTAGTATTATTTTTCCAGTTACAAGATGCATCAAATCATATTAATGCAAATGCTTTATCCACTTAGTCAGCCAGAGTTAATACACGTGGCTGCGCAGAGATCTGTAAAACTTGTCCCATAAACTCGAGCAACCAAAACAGTTTGTGTGGCAATTATTAAAAATTCATCAGACATGAAATAGAAGTGTTACCAAAGCCACATTAGCAGCGTTAAATTAAGTCTGCTGCTTTGTTATGCATTTCTGAACGCAGTGCAGTGGATTTAACTCAGTGCAGTGGATTTTACTGGTCCAAGGCTCTATGAGGCCTGGAGCAGAATTTGACATAGGAGCTCCTCTTGCTGGTAAAAGCATCAGCACCTCCAACAGCTTCTTTGTTAGATTGAGTGAAAACTGGGAGAGGGGTAGTTTAATTAGCCAACCTATAAACAATTAGTTATAATTGCAGTTTACTCATTTGTATTTGTGAACAAACATAGCTTAAACTCAAAAATTAAACTCATAGCATCAGATTGAAACTATGTAACTATGAATATTGTTCTTTGAACTTTTACAAAGTAAACTTGTCAAGCTCCTTAAAATCTTACATTTAAATGTTAAACAATTTAAAATCTTTTAATTTATGTATGCTGAAATTGAATCAAGTTTAAAAGCATTGATAATCTCAATAAACAAGTGTTACATTTATGTATCTGTGGTCTGTTTTAAAATATTAGCATTTATGGGGCCCCTGAAGCCCTGGGAGGCCTTATAGAGCCGCTGACTTAACTTGGATTAGGGCTGTTGTAAATTAATATTTTAGTAATCGAGTAATTATCGATTATTCTTACGATTAATTGAGTAATCAGATTAAAAAAAAATTATAAAATAAAATATTGGTAAATCTGGCGTAACACCGGTATTACTATCAGATATCAATAAAAGTCCAATTTTTCATATTTGAGCATCTCCAACAGTTACTTGGTTGTAGTTTACAAAATTAACCTGTAACAATAATAGCTCACTTTCTAAGTTAACCAGAAGAAAAGTTATACAAAGATCTGAAATTATATTGAATTTAATAATAAAGAGGCAGGCTCAAATGTATTCATCTTCAGTCAATTTAATAGATGAACTCTCACCTTGTCCAGCCATTTATAGCTATTGTGTTTATGTTAGTGACGGGATTTGACACCTTCGTTTGTCACACACAGAAGCACATCTACCAGCTATGTACCGCCACAATGCGCCCCGTCACCCGTTTGTTGAGACCGGGATGGAATTAAATTTATTGTGCGGTTCGTCTGTAAAGCTACACTTACACTATAAGCATCAATTACTCAGCCACCCGCCGTCTCCCGTCTATCTGCTTACATAAACTTAACATCTTTAATACAAAAACACGGTGGACCGCCGGTGGATCACCTTGGCATCCCGACCTCCAGGCTTAGCAAGTTTTCTAGGGAAAACCCTGATCATGGCTCAACACGTCGGGCTGATCCTTCTAGACGTGTTCTGCAACCTTATAGGCACTTTTCCATCAGTTAATGTGCAGTTTGGTTTTACACTAGGTCGTGAGATTTTCAATTATATGTTCTGTTCCTCACTATTGTGGGCAGAATGTGGTTCTGATGGACTCCAATAAATTATAAAAAATTTATATCTGGCCTAAACAAAGATAAAGACTCAAATCAGCTGATTATTTTTGCGATACATATAAAAACAATTACATTCTGGAATTTTATTTTCTTGAATTTTCAATCATACTGTCAAAAAAGTGGCAAACAAATAGCCAGTTTAAAAAAAAACTCTACAGTGGTCTAGTGTCTTATGTAACCCTGTGTAAAAAGACAGAAGCCAACATTCCTACCAGATCTGCATATTTTTTGCACAGTGCTGCCAGTTTCTCTTCAGGCGTGGCAAGAGAATTCAGTGCCTGCATCAGCAGTACAACTTCCTTTCCTGCAGGGAAAATGACAAGACAGCCAAAGAAACACATTAAAAATAGTTTAATAAACAGATCACAACACTAAAAGCTCCAGTACAAGAACTCAACACATTACTTTTAGATTTATGCCATCTTGGCAAATTATTTCTCATACCAAGACAATTTTGCACAAATTAAAGAATGGACATTAGAATGAAACTAGTAAAAAGGAACAAAACTGTAACTAATGATATATTTAAGCTGTTTTGAAGCCAAAGATCAAACCGAAATAATTTTTAGTCAATTTTATATAAAACAGCTGCTTCAAACATCAGCAGACCTAAATGTAGCTTCCCAAACCATTACTAACTAGTGTTCAGAGTGCGCATGCACCAACATGTATGCAGGTTGGTGCATCTGTTGCGGTTACTCCTCTGGTCTTTTTACTTTTTCATGTTTTCTATTTATTTATTTACAACATGAATTGCTTTTTGCACTTTACTAGAAGCTCATCTTCAACATTGTTGACTAAGAGAGTCTAAATCTTTTTCTTTGCTGCAGAAATATGTTTTTTACTCTGCCAAGTAAAACAACTTGGCCACATTGTTTACACAAGGGATCAGCTAATTGCGCTGAAGCCGGAAGGCATGGTGTTCAGTTCTGGAGAAGGACACATCAGGGCTGCAAAAAAGGAAACAAACAGCTGAGGAGAGCAACAAGCAAGAAACAGCAGAGGCTAATGGAGAAGAGGAGCAACAAGCTGTTTCTCCCCTCCCGTTACCATGGGCAACATTAGATCGATGGCTAACAAGACGGATGAATTAACAGCACTGGCCAGGAGCCAGAGGGAGTACCGGGAATGAAGCTTATTGTGTTTTACAGAGACATGGCTGAACTCCGACATTCCTGATGCCAATATCTCCATCAAAGGCTATGAGACTGTTCAGGCTTACAGGGATTGCATCAAGAACATAAAGCAGTATTGAGGGGGGGTTGCTGTTCAACTAAACAACCGTTGGTGCAATCCTGCTCATATAACGTTCAAGGACCAAATCTGTTGCCTGGATGTTGAACTGTTGGCGGTTGGTTGATGTCCATTTTACTTGCCAATGTGAACATTCCCATGTTATTCAGGTGACTGTTTACATTCCTCCCTCTGCTAAATGCCACGAAGGCCATGATGTCTGAACATTCGACTGCATTCACTGTTATCGAGGGTGATTTTAATCATGTCACCATGGACAAAATCCTGCCCAACTTCACCCAGTATGTGAGCTGTCCCACCAGAAAGAAGAGGTCCAGAGTCCTTTCTGTTAACGTAATGCATCTTTTATGTTAACTGTATGCTAACGTAAAAGATGCATACAGTTCCTCTTCCCTCCGAGTGGAGGGAGTGGAGAGGTGCACCTCAGTTTTTGTTACATACATCTGGTAAAGAGACAGCCTGCAACCATGAGGACAGCCAGGAAGTGGTCAAAGGAGGTCAATGAGACACTACAGCAATGATGCTCAAAGTCGGTCCTCGAGGGCCGGCATCTTGCATGCTTTAGTTCTCCCCCTGGTTTAACGCACCCATCTTCAAATGATGGCTCATTAGAAGACTTAAGAAGAACACTGACATGCTGAAAAGGTTGTTACTACCACCAGGGACTACGAGGCTGGTCCACTAATGCACCAGCTAACCAAGAAATGCATACATACATTTAATCAGTGCTTTCACAGAGCCACGCACTGAGCAGCATGTTGAGACATAAACACACACGCCACACATAATGTTTTGTTCACACAGATATACTATTGTCACTGCATGCTTAACGCGCACCTATAATTGCGGTTCACATTGAGCTGTGTGAGCAGAGCAAATGTGGTGATTTTTTAAACTTGACTCATACCTTGATGTAGAGTTCTCAAAAGAAACATGAGTTCTCACAGGGGGCTGAGATAAATATCCATACAGGTGAGCCTGTGTACAGTTTAAGTGGAAGGACGTAAACTTTAGAGATTCAGCCGTGATAGCGCGTGAGGCAGCCAATGCACAGCGGCGCCAGCGGTGTGATTGGCTGAGCATTTCACTGCACTGCCAGTGAAATGCTCAGCGCAGCAAAGATGCTTGTAGTTAGCTAATGCTTAAAAAAAAACAAGCAATGCTTAGCCTGGCTGGAGAGCAAGTAAAGACTGGCGGCCCGTCAGGCTTATAACACACAAGGGGACTTGCTGTTAAATACTGTATTACTGATAGCATGTTTTTCTGTTGCTCTTCTGATTGAATACTTGATGCATTGTGCCTGCATTTTTTTGTATGTTTTTCTCTAAATTAAATGATTTTATGATTCCATTTATACCCTAAATCAAAATCAGTGATCAGGAAAAAATCTGATCGGAGCATCCTTACCGTTTACATACTAATAGGTTAAGTGAATGACATTTGGATTTTTCCACTGAGCAGCAGAATCTCTAATCCAAATGTTGCTGTTTTAGTGTTTAACAGTTTGATCCATGCACCTCCTGCAGTTTTGAGCATTGACTAATCTGGACTGGATTGATCTTTGACCCCCACCACCAAAAAATATACTGACTCCACCTACACATCACATATAAACAAAGGCAGGCCAAGTGTCCTGAGTGTAATCAAACATTCAACCTTTGCTCACATTTTGTTCTATCAAAATAAAATAAACAAACCATATTTTAACTTAAAAAAAAAAAAACCTCCATAACATTATGAAAACTCAGCATTGTTGAGAGGAAACTGATAAAGGAAATGGAGATGCGCAAGCAGCAGTTTTCCTACCAAAAGCCTTGTCGTCTCCAGCCTTGGAGTCTCCACCAGGATCAAGCTCTGCCTCCCCCAGGTCACTGGGACTGTCCTCTCTACCCGGGGTTTCCCCTCTCTCTTCCTCAGGCCCGCACAGACCTAAATTAAACCCTGCGACTTCCTCCTATAAACACACACACCATTATGACAACACATCAGTTCTAATATCCCATTAAACAACACTGAGCTGGAGATTTCATTAAAAACTCCAGAAAAGGTAAGGGCTTAAATCTTTAGTTGTATGTCAAAAGTTATGCTGCAGGAGTAAACTTTAACTTTGTTTCCCCAGCACAGTGATTCCCATAGTGAGGGACACAGTAGCCATGTCTAAATTCACGGTCTGCATCCTTCAAAGGACCCAGTCCACTTAGGACGTCTGACAGATGTTAGCAGAATAATCAGTCCCCTAAGATATTATGTTTTCAGGCTTGATGTTATTTTTTGTTAAGTTGTCACTTGAACACAGCAGTGGTTGATTAGCTAACTTCAACACTGATAGTGATCTGTCAGTGAGTTCATCTGTGGGTCGCCTTTGATTTTTGTTAACCAAACAGCACCTTAATAAAGTAATAATTACTGTGATTATTATGATTATTTTATTGATTCAATAATT